AACCGTTGTATCTGTTGAAATGAGACGCATGCAGCTATTACACAACATAAGCCTTGATAAAAGCATTTCGTGACAAATACTTAGCCCAGAAGGTGTCTAAATATGACAGCTGCAGTCGCACTGCATACAAACAATGGTGAAAATCAAGATACGTATCGGGATATGCGAAATAAGAGATGAGGAAGTATTGCGTAAGAGCACATCAACCAAGACATACACAAAAATATCACAAGAAGATAAATGGATGAATGTATTAATTTGCAATGATAATTGTAAAGATGCAAACAGATAACAGAGCCCATATAAATTCGGCATCCATAATCCGTTTTTCCTGCTAACCACACTTTTTCTACTTCTTACATGTAAACATTTTAACCAAACTTTATCACCATCTCATTTTACATTGTGATGAAATTTCCGAAATTCACTGCTACTGTGTGAACTCATATTTAGTCATTTTAAAGACCTCACAGCGTGCCAAAAGAAAAAAGAGCAAAACATTTTTATTACGTGTCGGAAGAAAACGAACATTTATGGAATAAATACTGCGTTGGCGGGATGAATTCCTGACACTGCCGCCCGCTTCTTTCCCCGGAAACGCATATTGCGTGTCTCAGCGTTGACGACACTTGTGTTAGCTGATTTAAAGGTTGATTACTATTATGTGCCTAGGGGTACAGAGGAATTGTTCATCCCTAGAGAACGCCTCTTGCTTTAAAGCAATGAACTTTTCTGCGCTGACTGATGCGAAAAAACAAATCCACTGGGGGGTACAGATCATGCAAAATGCATCTTTGTATTAATTGAAGTGAGCGAAATTAGAAGAAAAAGTGCATCTAAGATTATTGAGGTGAACCCTCAACAACGAAGGTTCCAGGTTTTATTCTGTGTTATATCGCACTGCATATAAAATGTGCAGATCAATTGACTTACAAATTATCGGTGATGCTAGGGGATTCAGCCATTGCTCAAGGAACAAATAAATTCCCATAGTGGTAAGAAGGTTACTGTTTATATTGGGCCTCTTTTCGACCTTTCGTTCACAGCGAGTTGTTTATTCACATAAACGGCGTTCAAACTTGTTTTGGGCGTCAGTTGGGATACGATCTGTAATAATAGATTAAAGTTTATTTTGTTTGATGTACACCTGTTATCTCCTGCATACCGGGCATCAACTCCTTTTCTTAGGTGTGTCGAACTTCGTTCACTGCATACGGTTACGCAACATTTGAAGATTCTGAAGCAACGTGCCACTCAGGCAACGAACACCTTTATTTGCAATCTTAATTAAATCCTATCGATTTTGATTGTTGAACCCGAGACTGCAGACTTTCAGCCATTTAATTGAACTACGTTCGCACAGATGTTAATTGCTACGTAGAGTGAATGCCTGTTGCTGCATAAGAACGTGGTTTTATTCTACAATGAGCTGGAAGAAATAGCAACATTCTGACAGAAATTTCAACTTGTAAAATTAAAGCAGAAAACGTGTTGCCTCTTAATTTCCTTTCGTGTCAATGCCAGGCATACAAATTTTGAGCCATCTTTGTTATACACCTTTTAACCTGGTGTGAACGTAAGTACAGAAATCAATCGCCTACGACGAGAATAGCCAGACAATGCTTTGACAGGAAGCATGCGCCTTTGTTGTGAAAAGAGGTCTATTAAGTCACCAATATTTATATGGTTAGCACATCAAGCTGGACATTCTACGCCCATTCTTCCAAGAGCACGTTGTCCAATCCAGCTCTCTTACACGTACACACAATAGGGAAAGTAATGTAATACAACAACCCCAACAATTTACTAAATCGAGTGATTGATGTGTGTCACTTCGAATCCCGCTAAAGATCGATTTTTGACGTCAAACAAACTGCTTCTCTTCCTACTAAAAATAAATAACGATATCTGTTACATTTTGATTTCTTTTTTTGCATCTGGGATCTGTTACCACAAAGTCTGGGATGGCTCAAAGTCGAGTAATGCACACCGGAAACGTTTTGTGTTGGAGTTTGTCAGCGATTTGCAGCTGCATGGCTGCCACTTTTTTTGCCTTACATTTCTTTCAGGTAGGTCCTTGACTGGAAATATTACTACACATTCGTGGGTTCTTTTGATAAAACGACAGCCAAACATACGCCAACAACTGCCCTGGCTTTATATAAAAGTCATGCCCAGAATGATGTTTTACATAATTCATTGATTAACCGCGGACAGGTATGTTCTATGCTCTATTTATTAAAGATACTACCATGGGGGTTTTCCTTGGTCACTCACCATGACGGTTAATTAATCGGCATCTACAAATATGAAAATCCATATCGTAAGTTGTATTTCCCACATGTGATCAATTAAATGTTGTAGTCTAGCTGTGCTCTAAAGCAGTATGAGGGAAACCCTAACTGTGACTGTTTGTGGTAGTTTAAGCAATACTATATGGTGTTGTTAGCATTTAAGCTACAGGTACTTTGAAACTGGTAACCAATGTGAAAATAAATATATATAGTAAATGCACTATAATACAGAGATCTAGCTTATGACATCTTTAACTGTGTTGAAACAGCTCAATACTAAAATCGAGTTAACATGACGTATTTAGTGGTAACCTTCTAAGTAAGTGGAACGCTGATGGAAATGCCGCTGTGGTACATTACTGTAATCGAGTTAGTGACTAGTTGTGTTGATATAATCAGTAACCCGTGTATTTTGTTTTATGGGGAAGCTACAGCTGCTTGTATCTTTGATTACTGAAAGTATACAATGGTGTATACAAGTGTTACACCCCCTCCCACACACACACACACACACAAACACACTATATNACATAATTCATTGATTAACCGCGGACAGGTATGTTCTATGCTCTATTTATTAAAGATACTACCATGGGGGTTTTCCTTGGTCACTCACCATGACGGTTAATTAATCGGCATCTACAAATATGAAAATCCATATCGTAAGTTGTATTTCCCACATGTGATCAATTAAATGTTGTAGTCTAGCTGTGCTCTAAAGCAGTATGAGGGAAACCTTAACTGTGACTGTTTGTGGTAGTTTAAGCAATACTATATGGTGTTGTTAGCATTTAAGCTACAGGTACTTTGAAACTGGTAACCAATGTGAAAATAAATATATATAGTAAATGCACTATAATACAGAGATCTAGCTTATGACATCTTTAACTGTGTTGAAACAGCTCAATACTGAAATCGAGTTAACATGACGTATTTAGTGGTAACCTTCTAAGTAAGTGGAACGCTGATGGAAATGCCGCTGTGGTACATTACTGTAATCGAGTTAGTGACTAGTTGTGTTGATATAATCAGTAACCGGTGTATTTTGTTTTTATGGGGAAGCTACAGCTGCTTGTATCTTTGATTACTGAAAGTACATGTATGTGAAGACAGGGGAAGAGAATGGTGTATACAAGTGTTAGACCCCCTCCCACACACACACACACACACAAACACACACAATATATATATATATATATATATATATATATATATATATATATATATATATATATATATATATATATAAGTTGGATTCTGTTGTGAAATGACACAAACAGTATTGCATTTCTTAGCGTACACCGACTATCACTTAATAGAATTTTAAGAATTTTATAAAAAAAAAACTATATTTTGAAACCACAGTTTACTTCTTTCGGTTAAAATAATAATCCATTATCATGCTGATGACATGCATTCTTTTCAAATGCGAATCTTGATCTGGGACGAAACCTTTTAAAATCTTAAAATAAACTAGGAAGACCTAGGACCAAAAAAAAAAAAAAAAAAAAAAAAACCCACCGACTGACCTTTTAAGTAAATATATTTTAATTGATTATCCATCTTTTAATGTAAAAACAAGGTATTTTCAGGTGGTAAGTGTTTATTTTTTCACACCTGGAAATATTTATCCTCCAATTTTTACTATGGTGATCGGGAATGTTCACGCGTGCAGAAGCCCGGTACATGTAGTAAACTTATTCCAGGACTTGCGATTTATAACTCTTTTCCGATTTCTCCACCATATTTTTCCCTGTTACGTACACAACAGCATGTAACCTTGGATGACCAGGTGGTCACAAATTTTAGGCGTATTATAAATATATTATACGCATGCATTATACAGTCTTGTACATAGCCGAATTCACAGGTGCTTAAGAGGCCTAAATATGCTCAGGTGTGGGAGCGGTCAGGTATATTCTTACAGGTGGCAGGCGACATCCACGTGTAATGATCACCATACATCTCTTCCATATGGCTTCTAAAGTCATCGGTACCTCGGATTATATACATGCAAACATATATAAGTTAACTTTTGTTGTTGTTTTTTTCAAATGAAATGTACGTGATATATGATTGGATGGTTGCTCACATTGCCTACACCTGCAGTGTGTATACGATTAAGATATAGAGAATGGACATACATCGCAACTGGTCGATAGTGTCTGAAACCAGGTGTGATGGTGGCGTTTTTTAAAATAACAAAATGTAAGTTAAAACTTACGTCTGACTCCACGGGGTCTGTTTTAATTTGTCTGCGACGCAAGTGACATATGCCAGACACCTTAAACATACCACTTCCAGTTATTAATGTATCTAAGGGATGCACATTTGGTTCAATGGTTTAATTGCTGGAAATTTGTTTTTGTTCCAATATTGGGGAATAGTTTGCAACATGCCATATTGACAGCTGTCTTTTTATGTTTTTATCCAAGCGAAAAACATTCAAAGTAAATTCTACTTTGATAAATACTTACTTAGAAAAGTATAGCGACATGTTTATATATAATCTTATAACATTATTAATTAATTAAATAAAATACAGCACTTCAAGATGGTAATTTTCTTTTAGAGGCGTTAGGTATGTAAAATTTCTTGGTTGCTCTAATGTTTTCGTTACCTAAACTCAAACTTGATAAGTGTATGCCAGATAATTAGCATTACTGAAGAATATAATTAACGTTTACGCGACCATTTTGCTTTCAGGAAGTATAGCAGTTTCGGACGAAAAACGCCTTATCAGCCACCTACTAAAACAGTACAACGATGTTGGTGTGGTCGGTCGACCGGTCGAAAACTTTAACGACACCATTCGAGTCAGCTTTGGTATAGCCCTCATACAGATTTTAGATTTGGACGAAAAGAACCAAGTTCTGACGACCAATTGCTGGAGCAGATACGTAAGTCACTTTTCTTTCAAATCTTTTAATCACAATTGTACCACTTGCCTTGACTTCTGCATTGACCAGCCTTAAACAGATCTGGGAAGTGGACGTAAAGAAGCAAGGTTTGATAACAATATGCTGGATCAAAAGGCAAAAATGTTAATTCCCATACTCGACACTTGCTAAATGTTAAGCAGATCTGCTAAATGTTAAGCAGAGACGTAGACGGAAGATTACAACTGGATGAATCATAATTCAAATTTTAAAATGTGCTGGGTCACTTACGTAAGTTAATATTTCGATACAATCCCCCCCCCCCAAAAAAAAAAAAAATGAAAATCAAAGACGATTCAGACTCGAACACGTCTGACGTATTAGCACGTCCATCTTTTAAAATAACTATTATATATTTTTCATTGAACTAAGAGCGATGTTAAGGGTGGCAGAGTCTTAATATGGAAATAGTTTCTCATTGAAAGTGATAGCTTGTCACAAATCCATTAAGTAGATTCAGAAATTGGAACCTGGTTCTCATAGAAATATTCTGGGAAATGGGAATTCAAGTCAATTTTAGTAATAAATATCTTGTTTATCATAGATTTTGGCAAGGGACGTCATGGTAACGAGACCTGCGATTTGACAACCATTTGCTTTACGAGATACATTAGTCAATATTTGTTATATCTGGTAATCATTGATCCCAAAGTGACAGTTGGGTGTGTGAAAGAAGAACCCATAGCGATTTGTCACATTTTATTATTTGTTAACGACATTCAGAACATGAAAAATGAGTTCCAGATAGCACCGAGCAAAATTAATCCTGCCTAAGGCATTTACACGCGCATCAATCTAAAAGCGTAGCTTTTCAAATCAAAGGCAAATGATACTCTATGCTGTAGAAGTGTAAATTATTCAAAGGGAAATGATTGAAGGATGTGGTCAAAACTATGTAGTCAAATGAATTTAGTTTTTAAATTATGTAATACTTACAGGATAAAAAAGGGGGCAAGTTCCAACATGGAGTCTCCTAGGGTTCTTTGAGGTCTATACTATACAATACAATACGTTTGCATACTCACAAAAGGCAAACACCAAAGAACGCGAGGGCTGTACAGATATATAGAGCGAACAGGAAGTAGGCAAGTTTAAGTGAGATGGTTCCCTGATAGCTGCTTTATATGGGTCTAGAAGTCAGTCCATTAGTCACAAACCCCATTGTAAGAATACTGGGTGTTTTCAAACAATCGACTTCTGGTTCCCAGGAGAAAGAGAACAGTCCCCTATTGATTAACTAGGGAACAAAGATTAATCAGCAAACACAACCTTGATTAGGTTCAGTGACTTTCAAGACAATCACAGAGTAATAAGGGCACGTTAAAAAAGACTCTTGAAAAAATTTCATCGGGATAAATAGAGTTTCCATCGCAGACAGACATTTCATTGGACAACAGACAATGTCAATAAAAAAAACAAACCAGTAAGCAAAGGACATAGATATATACTTTCGTTTAGATATTCGTACATATACTTAAATAATAAATGTTTTAACATGGTACATCTAACACAATTCATGATAATCAATTAAAATTGTTTCATTTCCATACAACCAAAAAAAGGGAAAAAAATTGTCCTCTAAGCCTCTGAGACAGACCAACCACCAGAACTAGCATTTCAAATGTGATGGCTAAGTGTGGGAATCCCTTTCAATTAAAACCGCGTGGAATTCTACAGCTGAGCAGTCCCATATGGTTAGGATGGACCTACCATATAGCGTATTCCACTCGAGTGCACCGCCATTCATTCTCAACATAAAGAACACGTTTCTTTGCTCATCCACCACAAGGAAGCGTCCGACGACATTGATAGATAACGCTCAAGTAAAGTGCAGAATAAAGTAGGAAGGATGAATTATAAAGTAATCTTCAAACAAACAGTACGCACAAAGTGGATTAACGCTATGGTTACAATGGCAAACCCAAATCCGAAGTGCTCATCGACCAACTAGGCTTAAATTAAGCTTTCCGTAGAGAGACGAACTGATTGTTAATAGACTTAGCTTCATCGTTTTTATATGGCACAATAAATTAACAGCAAAGTTAAGTGAAAAAACCAATCGTTGGCAAACTGTGGACCACCACAGGACAGCCAATCGGTCGTTGACTTTCCTTGTGGTGTATGGAAACCACAGGTGCCGAAGAATTTTTACATGCGGTTTGAATGCGCATAATGCATTTAAAGATAACGCTATTAAGAAAACAACACCATGGGTTTTAAGTGTATGGCTTACGTCCTTTCTTATTGCAAATAAAATGTAAATAAAAGCGTAAGCCATTGACCTTAAATCATAGTTGGGAATAGTAAAGGTCTCGTGGGCGACTTTTCGATGTGTGAAATGCTAAATTGAAGTACCCTCTACCAGGGCCACAGAATGACTTTTCACAGGATATTCACAGATATGTCTTTAGATAAATAGACGGTCATTTTACTATCTCTGGATGTTCCCATTTTTCCCTTTATAATCTGCCACCCTGGTAGAGGGTAAAATTGAAGTGGAATTTCACCAAAATTTCACTACGTTTCCATGACCCGTGCTGTGCCTGACCTCAAATTTGATTTATTAAAATCTAGTAATATATTTAAGCTTTTTAAAAAACATGGCTTATTCAAGTAGTATAATGCAAATCTTTGGTAGTACTGGTCTTCCTTTCAAATAAAAACATCATTTTGACATTTTGAAAAGTACACGGAAAATAATTCAGCCAGTTAGATGCAGAAGGCAGAATACCTATAGAGCTCTAAGAGATTTAACGAGAAGACCAGCACAGAGTAAGGCAAACAATTAGGATGACTTCTGTTCTTGTCAAATTCTTGTCGACGATGAACTTAATTGTCCTGATAGATAACTGTACAATGACAACGCAGTTATTGTAATTTCACCTATCAGAATACCAAAGCATACAAATAGAATACATTATAAGAGATGAATCATAATTAAGCGAAGTGGTTTACCAATTGAAATCTGTCAGGTGATGGATCAGTTCGCCCAACCTCGCGTTTTTCCGTATCAACACCTTAGCTTCGAGTTACAGAGTTAAGCTACATATAACTTTCCTGAATGGAGATGGATTTATTCGTTGTCTAAATAACGTTCAGCTCCTATGTCTTAACTGTAAATTGTTTTAATCTGTAATTTTACTAGTGCATGTTCTTCCATAAATTCATAGCACAATTAACACGTTTGATCTCTAATTTTGTGTACTTGCTTTGTCATAAGACTTCATACATCTCTTCTTTTATCTGGTGAAAGTAGGCTACCTCAACCCTAGACGTAAATTCGCCCATATGCATGTAAAATATAGCTGTCATGGCACATATTTCTTTTTTATCTAACAAATATATCAAAGTTAACGACTCGTGCAGCAGAAGACAGCGGACAGAAATATGACAGGGCATAAAAACTGATATGTACCCTAATGAACTTGGTCTGATTCCTAGACTTGATTAAGGTGACCTCGAAGAAAAAATGGCCATCCTTCTTATAGATGGTGAATGATATGTTTTTAATGCACATTGAACTGTTTTATCCATCGAGTGTGGGTCTAGATAGGGACATAGTATGTAATGAATGTTTTTGTTTATGGTCAGACACGGCAGTTTCTTGGTTCAAGTGCTATTTAGCCTCCCAGCACTGCCATTATTGTAATATATATTTTATATCAAAGGGTTCAATTTAGGAGAAATGCTTCGTAGTTGCAGAGGACGGATCACGACAGCGGTCGAGGGAATACCTTCAGAAATGCGTCTCTTGACAGTTTTAAAAATGCCTGTCGGTAGTTTTTTATTCGTTGATATAAGGAGCGAATGGAGAAGCATTCTACGTGAATTTCTACCCAGACGTATGATTGATATTGGACCTTAACTGAAGTTCATGACCTGCATTGGTCAGCATCGAAATGAATTCATTAATTAATCAATGGTCGTTAAGTGGACTAATCATTACGATTGGTTTGAGTTTGGTGCAGGGACACTTTTAAACGTTCACCACATTAACGCCGTGCTACAATATAATTGCTATCTTCTAGAATTTTACATTTCTTATATGATTGCAGCAACTGTAATGTGTGCAACATAATGTGTATCATTCACCGAGTATACTAGGTGTACAAGGCCATATAGTCTAATAGAATGCATGCATCAGTGGAGAAATACATTGAATTGAGATGTATTGATATGTTTCGATATTTATACATATTAATCTGTACATTATATAAGAAGCAGGCTTAGATATAAAAACCGGTGCCATATGTGCATGAGGGTCCCCAGCAATTCAGGGTACCGTCCCTATTGATTTCTACAGGTACGCCCCGTCCTAGATTTTGACCCACTTAGGTCGCACTGACCCGAACCGGTATGAATCTAATGGAGGACGGACTATCTATTAAACGACGCTCAGGTTTTAACACCGGTTCATGTAACTGTGGACATTTTTTTCAAAGCGGGTCATTTTACTATAGAAATGAAGATAAGGTGGAAAACATCCCAATATTCAAAAATCGACCCGGTATTGAAATGAGGGTCTAAGTCTGTGCTCGCTCTCCTTGTATCGATTGTAATCCATCAACCTTAATTTGAATGTTTGTCTAATAGTCTATTGATTTAGGGAGTATCTCTTGCTTTGCTGAAATATCTTTATCTCTAAAGATCATCGAAACTTTCTAATTTGATGATATGGAAATGGCAAATCCGTCTTGGGATATTGAAAAATTTGTCTCACCGTCAAATTAATTCTGAATTCAACTGATTGCAGTCGAACAGATCCGTTATACGGCGTGTGGTTAAGGGAGCTTAGATCTGATAGCCTCATGTGATGCCATCATGTTAAGATAGTTTCAAACATAGACAATCGCTGTATCCGTTTAGAAATAAAAATGCAGTTTGCAAAGTACTGGATTTTTATATCTTTACATTTATTTAAGCAGTAGTGATCATCATGTACTTTTCCATATTAATTTATGTAAAAAATTGAAACGTTACCAAACAATATACATAAAATGTACATATAAAAAAACACGTTTAAACTTTACTATTATGACAATGCAGTCAGAACAAAAATCTACTGGTATGAAAGCCAGCCTTCAGTTGGAGGTCATTGGATCCTCTTCTTGATTTACAACAGCTTTCTTGAAAATGATTTTGAGAGCCTGACTGGCCTTTTCATCTTCCTGGCCCATGTATAAACAGGGGCGGATCCAGGATTATTTAAAGGGGGGGGGTCCGCGGAAGGCGTGGAGTTCGCGGATGGCGCCGGTTGGCGTGGGGCTCGAGGCCCACTGAAGGGGCCCGAAAATTTTTTGGTATTTTAGAGGGCGAACGGTGCCATTTGGTACGGTTTAGTACTATAAATCAGCTGGTCAAAATTCTAATTTCAAGAGGAGAACATTAGTGTGATTTTTTTCTCAAAAACCGAAGGGGGGTCAAGACCCCCCTGAACCCCCCCCCCCTTTAATCCGCAACTGATAAACAAAATTTAAGATGCTTCTGCAACTGTCCGAACCTGAACAATTAGATTTAGAGCACAGCCAGGAATGCGTCTTTTCGCAACTAACACAATCTCTACACTGCAATGTAAGGGACTGGTACAATCCGATGCAACTTAACAATAATAATCCCAGGCAGTGTACTTGTCCTCATAATCACGTCACATTTTGTATTTCATGTTCTGTAGGCGTGGAAAGACAAACTTTTAGCATGGAATCCAAAGAACTACAGTGATGTCAAAACGATCCGAGTGCCCACAGACCAAATATGGAAGCCGGATATTGTTCTTTACAACTAGTAAGTTGTCAAACGTTTGTACATTTTTCTGGTTAAAAAAAGCTAACTTTTTCCATAACGGTAGCATGTTTGGACGTAACGACCAGTAAAACGTTTACAAACGTTATCATAATGATAATGCAATAATGAGTGGCAGTGTATTACTCTCTGCATTGTCAATTAATTTTTTGAAAAGCAAAGACTTTTTACTGATACGTACACGGATCCTTTTCATAACCGCAGTACTTTTCAAAGCAATCATAAATACATCTGTCGTTTTCAGTGCCGACACTCGTCTGAAGGAACGAAGAGAGGCACTGGCTGTTGTATCGAATGACGGCCAAGTCATGTGGATTCCACAGGCGATCTTTAAGAGTTCCTGTAACATAGACATTACGTACTTCCCTTTCGATATCCAAGAGTGCAACATGAAGTTTGGATCATGGACATATGATGGCTTCCAGCTGGATGTGTTTTTCTATGATGGGGAGAAGGTCGACCTGAAGGATTACGTCGAGTCCAATGAGTGGGTGGTGATGGACAGCCCCGCTAAAAAGAACGTGAAAACTTACCCTTGCTGCCCAGAGCCGTTTCCCGATCTAACGTTTACGATAAGATTTCGAAGAAAAGTAGCATTTTATAATTACATTTTGGTGCTACCTTGTGTTTTGTTATCGACTTTGACTTTAGCGTTGTTCTGGATGCCACCTGAATCTCCAGCAAAAATGCAGTTAGGTAAGTAAACACATGCAAAGTTGTCCCTGTCTCCTTGTTTACCGTAAGATAAAGAAACATATAAGATAAAGCACTTTAAACAAACCGTATACAGTGATTTCTTATTTAAAAACATTGCAATAAATTAAATATAAAATCTGAATTTAATAGTATATGTTTAAGATACAAAGAACTATTAATAATATACTTTTTTCGGCTACATCCCAAAATATTTATAATGGCCTTGCAGCCACGTTTATTTCAAAAGAAATACCCATCCCTTTTGTTTAATTTTTGTTCGCATAATTCCATCGAAAGACCACCCATAAATGTTGAGATGCAGTGTTCATGCACAACCACCATCCCGTGCCAAGGGGGTGGGCACTTTTCGAATGAAACGTCCTTTCGTCAATTATTCTCTAAATGAATGTTTATGCGCACTGCTTAATTGAAGCAGTGGACTGAGATTCACCACAATCCATGTATTCTTACACCGTGTACACATCCAAAAGGCAATGTGAAATTGTGTACCTGTTAATGCATGATCGGTTGTACTGATACGCATGTGTAAATCTATGGATGGATCGTTAACGTATAAGTTTGGCAACGTTCAGTATCTATTTAGTATTGGGCATTTTGTAGTTAGTCATGATGACTCGTGTTTTGTAGTATATCGTACACTGCTTTTCAACGTAAATCACCGATAGATTTTGTACAAAAAAAGCCAAAAAAAAAAAATTGATGTGAGTGTTGACAACATGCCAAGAATTAAGCACTTTGCTATCTCGCCGAGACTGCACTTCACGGGAGTGTGTTTTCAATATTGAATGTATATTATGTAAAATACCTTGCTAATATCAACTTCTTGCCGCACCGACCCTTTGAAAAAAAAACATTATTGAGAGAAACTTGTCGCCACTGCTTTCTATTAGTAAGTAGTATTATGTCTGTTCTCCAGATATGATAGTTGCTGCAATTGGTATTCCAGCTTTCGACCTTGATGAAAACAAAAACCAAGCGTATAGATGCTGTCTGCTGTATTTGATATCCTTTTGTTTTTCCTTATGTCCATTTCAGGCATGAATATCTTTGTGGCGTTCTTTCTGCTTTTACTACTTCTTAAGGACCTAACACCACCGTCCGCCAAAGTGCCATTGATAGGTAATATTGCTGGTGTTGGTAGGGCAGTTGACTGGCACGCTCAGATATTGCTTTTGGTGTACCTGTATTGAATGTGTTAACCTGTGTTCACGACAGCTCATCCATGGCAATCTCTACGCCAAAGCCTGACGCCTCCAACACGGTTAAGCAAATGTAGGTCTGCATAGCGTCAGGTAAGCGTGTCAACTAACATAGCGTTACAGACGCCATGGAAGAGCTTGTCACCCGATTCTTCTTGTCAACTGCATTCTTCGTCGGGGGAATTTTTTTTATAAGAGTAAATTTTAAGCACTTAACCAAATTCACGCTTCAAATTTTTTGAACCCTTCATTTAAACCAAACAACCACAAAATACAATCCGACGAGCATGCATTTGACTGCTTTTGTCCTTGTATCACCGCCCTCCAACGAGCATGTAACTGACTATGAACATGGTCAAAAATATTGACACATTGTCCTCTAGCATGATCGCCATACAAAGGTTAATGTGCAATTCCACACTATCCAAAATGGGAATCAATTATTTGAAATAGTTATTTGCATGCGCACTGCACAAATGATTGTACGTCTTTAACCTTCCTCAGAGCCACTGCTTTACATGGTACCGCCGGTTTTCTGCCCGGGTCCACTATTTTCATCACCTTATAATTATTGTTTTTATAACAATGCCAACCACTGCTCTTTTCCAGGAATGAATATTTTTGTGGCATTTTTCGTCTTGTTGCTACTACTAGCGGAGAGCACGCCCCCAGCCGCTTCCTCTATTCCACTTATAGGTACGAAATTTGGGCACATATGACGTCAGGACGCCTATTTAATTCGTATTACAATTTGAGCACCTGATGATCCTTTTGGAGAGTACCAAATAAGCCCATGCTAAGTATATAAACTCTAGCTTAAATCGTCCATTCGCTGAATCATATCTGGTTGTCTCTTTACTGTTGTTTAGACGTTTATTTTAACCTTACTTTGAATTGTTTGATGGTGAAACGCTTTCAAAATACAAAGGCCACTGAACAGAAAGAGATGTTGAAATTACTATAAGGTAAAACTTTTTTCTCGTATTTACATATCATTGTTTCGATTTATATTTACGCATGTTTTTTGCCTTTTTTGTGTTTTTGATATATACGAAAAGATGTCAATTTAACCCCCTTTTAGCACGAAACATCTTATAGTTATAACGTAGATAAACTAAAATAAACTTTTGACCTTGGGATAACTCACTTCACAACTTAGCAGTCCATTTCCTATAACCAACCTCTCTTTTTTCATCTCTCAAGTTGGATATTTTGGTGTCCGTGGCTGTTTCCTCATGTCTTGTGTACGTAGTCCGTATAATATATTAACACAGTGTGTATTTGGTGAACACAAGTAGCCGTCCTGGCGTCCATAATTAAACAGAAAAGGCCACAGAATGCGTTTTGCGGATACATCAGGTGCAAAAGGTGCCTTAGGACCCATTTTGTTTCTGTTTTCATTGCAAAATTGCGTAGTGATGAATATTATTAGTTTGTTTTGTAACTTTAGCTTTTTATGCGAGATAAATCAGAATTGTTTACTTTATATTTAATTTTGAGATGATTTAATGGTTTATTGGTATAGTTTTATGTTTAACGTGGTCGTTTTACTGGTACATTCGCTGACACGATTTAATTTGCGGACTTTCATAAAAAGTAGCACAAGCCTTTTAGTGGTACGTTGAATATCGATCATTGTAACCTCTAATGTTTTATACCAATATTTGGCAAAGGTCATTTTGTAATTAAATTTAAAAACGGTAAATTTTGATGAACCTTCTTAATTTTATTTGTATTTTGTTAACCAAAATCAAAATATCACTAACGATAAACCTTTTGATGATATCGTTATTTCTGTTTCAGGTGCCTATTTTTGCTTGAATATGATTCTCATCACTTTATCCACATTTCTGTCCACAATTGTAATTAACCTCTACTTCAGAGGTGCAAAGAGGCGAAAAGCGCCCAACTGGCTGAAGCGGGTAAGGTCATATCGTCTGTGGGGGCACTGGAAAATGAAATGTTTCTGAATTTGATTTAAAACCAAATAGCACAAAATATTTCAGTTTTCCACTTTTAAGAATTGGATTATGAGATAATTGTACAGGGGTACGTTTTGCCTGTGCATGTTGGTGCGTAAGTTACGATAATTATTCATGTGTGTATATATTGCATGTTTTGAATGCATTTCGAAGGTCTGTTTGAACTCACACTATGTATGTATGTATGTATGTATGTATGTATGTATGTGTATGTATGTATGTATGTATGTATGTATGTATGTATGTATGTATGTGTGTGTATATATATATGTATGTTACTATTGTATGTATGTGTCATTAGATACAATCATTTTAAAACTGTTGTTCAGTTTCAAGGCCTCAAACAAATAAGACTCTTAAATCTGTTTCAGGTGATGCTGGATGGATTTGCGAAAATTATGTGCATGACAGACGAAACGTACCATGTCGACCAGAGAGGCGCTCCCAAAATGGAGGGCGTAAAACTGATCAATAACAAAGAGAAAAAGAAAAACAAAGTACCAGAACTAAAATACAACAAATATCAAATGTGCGAGTGCGGCGTAAGCATGCAAAATAACTCCAGCTCTAACAATACTGGAGACTGGAGCAATCCGCCGGATAAATCGCCAGTCAATATCACTGCGCTGGAAAGTGAGATCCGGGACATTCGAAGGTGTGCGCGATCTTTTATGAACAGAATAGCGGAAAAGGACGCAAATACAAAAAAGTGCGAGGAATGGCGAGTGATAGCGTTGGTGTTAGACCGATTGTTCTTCTATATGTATCTTATTGCCATTGTTGTGTCTATTTGCGCAATATTCCCCCGATCACATGAATAGTTGATTGATTTACTGGTGCAGCACCATGCTCATGCATCTTATATTTGTTTATACAAAAATGTTTATATACTTATATGCACTATTTTGCACACCGTAACTATAGCCTTTAATATTATTATAAATTGAATTATAAAGAGATATTCAGTGGTCTCTCGTGTAGATAGGCTACACATTAACAGTGGCACAGCTTGCATATTTCGTCACATGGATAAGTTTTGACATAAAAAAGAGAAAAGAAAAGAAAACAGAATCTGTAAAAAATTATTAGTTACATGATGCCAAACGTTTTGGTGTACAATGCACAGGGATTTTCTCGCTGTAAAATACGTAGCATTTACCATGATAGTCAAAACCAATACACACTTTTGCTTTTGGGTCCAGATAGAAGACGCGTTTGTAATTGTTGCTTACTTTTTGTGTCCACACGTTCGTAACGCCTTAACAATTTGCACTTGTTTTGTTCCATCCCTTTTCCATTACCAACAATTTGGGTAGGATGTTTACTAAACAACTTTCAATATCAAATACAACATCAGCTGTGAACGTGATCCTTTTAATCAGTCTACAATATCCAAACCAATCTCGACCCTATCACTTCTTTCTTCGAAAGTTTAATAATTTATAATAATAATAATTATTATTATTATTATTTTAATTATATTTTTGCGTGCAGGTATACTGATCTTTGAACCTCCCTCTTGACCAAATTCCTGGATCAGTCTGTACATCATGTTGTACATGTAGAGCCACTATATACCACTTGCACATTCACCTACGTTATTTACGGATCTATTTCTGATGAAATTGGAAGCGTTGAAGTTGACCTAAAAAATCAAACAAGTTGCTGTATTTAGGAGCCAGGGATGGTTTTTAGGAAAGTCTAGTACAGGGACCACAGAATCAATGTTCATTTCAGTAATTAGATTTTTTTTCTATAAACTCATGACTTTGTACTCAGAATACAGACTTCGACAGAGTGACTTGCACAAACACCGTTTATACCTCCATCAGTTGACTGCAAATTGGTGTGTTCTCTCAGATAGCTTTGTTAAAGCCTTCCGATGTCGAATTATACCATGTATGATGTCGAATTATACCAAGTATCATAACAAGGAGAAGAGAAACAATGCAGCCCTGCGGGATATCAAGTAACTCAATTGGCATAGTAAGAAATACTGATAATGCTAAGAGAGGAGGAACACGAACTGTGCCTGCATCGGCGTCCTAAAAAGAAATGCCACGTCACAAGAAGGGCAGTTTTAATATGACAGACGTTAACACTGACAAATGGATAATAGTGCAGTACAAAATTAATATATACACCCATTGTATACATAGTTGTAGAGCAGAAATGTTTGGACATTCACTTTTTCACATTCCCCGTTCAATTTTTAATATAAACATATATATCATTGTTTCAAGTCGGTCACAAATTCACGTACTACATGGCCTATTTGCGATATCATTAGCATTGATTTATTTGGTAAATTATCATAGGCGTACAGAATAGATGTGTCAAAAGCAACCCCACCAGCACTTTTATCAACAGAATGAGAGAACCATTTCACGACTGCCAATTTTGCCGGCTCTGCATACATTCAATGGATATGTATATCTGTGTCACATAATCGCTTAAATCGGTGCAGAAGTACAAATACTGTTAAATTGTCTCAATATTCTACAATGTAAATATAGGTTGCATTGAGTTAAGAGCAGGTTTTTTTTTTTTTTTTTTTTTTTTTTTTTTCATGCGGGCTGGTTGGTTTTCCTGGGGCGAGTGGATTATAATTACGAACCCTTCCAGCATTGTGGGTGCTTTTTGGCAACACTTAGAAGGATGTGACTGAACCTTGTAAAACTACTGTCTTCCACAAAGTAAACAAACCATGAAAATTGATCAGAAAAAATATCATTATCGAGAAATTACAAGAATTAAGTATCTTAACCTACTGGAAAACCGTTACAGCTAGCAAGTTTTGCATAAAGAGTATGTCTTCGGTACATTTTCTTCCCGTTCCATAGATAATTTGTTTGATATCGTGGTCGATGACGGTTGAAACCATTGCTTGTTAAAATGTAGGATATGCACCTCTCTCCTATGGTATTAATAATGATAATGATAATTATAGGCATTATATTAATATTATAGTGATGATGGTGGTGATAAAAAAGTGTAATTCATGCTGTTAATTTCAGTTATATCTTTAGTTTTATCAGAAGTTAGATTTTTACATTTAGGTGATTTTAAAAAGCCATTATATGGAACCAATACACCAAATGTCCTGCCAATGTCGAATTAGTTGTAACACTTATAAAGTCTTCGTTTGAAAATATAGCATTTAACGGGTAGAAACATGTAAAGTAGTTATGAAATTTGTATTAACTTGGACATTCATTATCATAGTTAAAATGTTATGTTGATTGCACGTACATTCAATGCAGTGTATAGCACGTGTAATTTTTGGGCATATGTGATCACATTATTCCGCTCCAAACATCATTTTAATTTCTTATGCGGAAGCCTTTCTAGCTGTTAGAAAAAAAATCCCATAAACAAACTAAGCTGCGTTGTGTTTAATCTTTTGTGCTATCGATAAGTTTGCATAGTTTACACATGACAAACTAATAAAGGTGATATTGTTTAAGTCTATATATGAAATTAATATCAATCTATCTTTATGACTCGAGTTATTTGTCCACGTTCTCAAGTTATTGTTCTTTTATGGGCGTAAATAGATAAGACTGAAAACGTCTATTAGGACCAACTATGATTGGTGTGGTTAGCTCTTTTTTACCAATCATAGTTGATCTGAATAGATGCATTTTAAATCTAATTTATTCATTTCTTATATAAGATAAACCCGGTGATTATGATAAATTTTATGAACGTAATAACGGAAATTTTCAAACATTTTCAAGCTTCATCGCGCAGCACATCGGTAGTGCGAGTCAAAATCAGGTTAACATAAATAGCATCAACACACCTTAAAGGGATAATGACTCTCCGTATGAGATCTATATTTCACAATAAAAACATTGTAAACAAATCATGGGAATATAATATATTCTGTTTTACCACAAAAACGACAGTTATATCTATTATTCTGATATATGAGCTTGTCATCGGAGAACCTGACCTCCATAGATGGCTATACTCTGTAATAATGTCATAAGAGATTATTACAAAAAAGCAAACTTTTTAGAAAAGAAAGAAAAAAAAACAGGGACTAACTTTGTATGTAGAAATGGATTCATTAACCATTGGTAAGTATGGGAAAATTGCTATTTTCTCCAGGAAAATTCATTTTTTGGCCAAAACGAAAACAGTTATTATCCCTTTAACTTAATTAACCTAAAGATACTAGTACAACTGCACAATACTCTTGATAAAATAAGAAAAAAAAATGAACAGGGAACGCGGAATCGTGCGTGGTCTGGCAAAATAAGAATGAGCGTTGCTGGTATTAGTACACGTACGACAGATTCAAAGGTGGTCTATCGGTGTAACGAAACTGAAGTTCCGTGTAACAGATTGTCCGCCCTACATATAGTTAAAATGATTAGGGTTAGTCTGACATATTAAAAATCTAGGGCAAGGCTCGCCTGTACAAATGAATGGGAAGCGGACTCTCTGTTGTGGGGAACTCTCTGTCACGTTACACCGGATAACTGTGGGAAAGAAAACTGGGGCGATGGATTCAACAGGGTCTGCCGGATTTTAGTGGCAAAGAACACCGCGGCCCGTTACACATAGGGTACTTTAAAGGTTTACATCGAAAGTTGGTCTTGGTTTAAAAACTGAAAAACCTACTTTGACCCAAGATAAATCAGTATTAGCCCATCACCTTGAAGATTAGTCCGTTTTATAAATAAGAGGCCACTCAGAACAGAAAATCCGAGGATCTACCGATCCACAGATAAAATATGGCGGACCCTACATGAAAGAAGAGTCGATTAATCCGCTGATGGTCTCCCCGCCTCTACACGCCCCGTCCTTGCAGGGGTCTAGCAATTAAACCTCAGAGCCGTGATTTAATCCGTTTAATGGTACGTGTTGAGGCGGGGAGACCATTAGTTTGTTCTTCTTTCATGTAGTGTCCATCATATTTGATCCGCGGATCAGTAGATACGAGGATCATCTGTTGTGAATGCCCTCTAAGATAAATAAATTGAATAGCAAATGACCAATAGTGACTTTTATGTCAATATTTAAATTAAAATGCTACTGGTGTACTTATACAGGTTTAGTCTGACGTAAATACAACTAAAGCTTTTGGATTTAACGTTAGTTTTTTATTCAAATCCTTTTTACTGGACAGATCTACTTTACTTCTCAATAAATAGTGCTTGATAAAAAGATTTGGCGGAGAGTATCCTCCCTTTCATTCCACTGCTTTACCACTAAATCACCGTCTGGATTGCTGTAACTTGCGTTAACATGTACTCAGCCACCGAGGGACTTCCCCTAGCTAGAATCAAGATTTTTCGAAAGATGCGTTGATTAATTCTATTCATCCCTCGTGGGCAATTAAGACCTCTGTTGGGCCGAGGCACTCGAATTTGTCGGTCAGTTACGCTCGAGGGCATGCATTAATTCCCCAGCTTACACATGGCGTTTCCCCAATGTTATATATTAGTTATGGCCATCTGTAGCATTCCAGGAACATGGCTATATACTTTGTCTTCAGTTATATTCACTCTGTCCGTTTGTGTCAACCCTGCTACCAGCAGCTCATTTCTACAACGTTCTCGAATAAAGTACCTTTTTGAAGTACCAAGGCAGTTTCATGCCATCTGATTGTCTTGTGAAAGTCGATAGAATTAAATTGAGTTGCGTTAGCTGCAAACGTTTTTTAAACGAACGTCTAAAATCTTTTACAAATAATGTTTCTATGACGTGGAGGTAAAAATGTAATTGTGAAAACCGTCCAAGTTTTGGGTTTGATGCAGTGCGATATTGTTGGCAGGAACATCACTTCATAACAAGAAACTCGTATGGATGTTTTCGCGAAAACACAAGATATCAACACGGACATAATACACAATGCTTAAAAGAATTTGTATGGTTAGCTGTAAAAACGTCGCAATCCGCTATCAAACAAATAAGTGATTAATAAACAGGGCAATTCATTCCTTCATGCTACCGATGTCCATGCTATAACTGTACTGTGTTGCATTACCGCGGAAAAAACAAAAGAAGAAGCCTTTTATGAGATGTTCGAGTAACTTATACTCAGNAGGGATAGTAACTCTCCGTGTGAGATCTATATTTCACAATAAAAACATTGTAAACAAATCATAGGAATATAATATATTCTGTTTTACCACAAAAACGGCAGTTATATCTATTATTCTGACATCTGAGCTTGTCATCGGACCACCTGACCTCCACAGATGGCTATACTCTGTAATAATGTCATAAGAGATTATTACAAAAAAGCGAACTTTTTAGAAAAGAAAAAAAAAACAGGGACTAACTTTGAATGTAGAAATGGATTCATTAACCATTGGTAAGTATGGGAAAATTGCTATTTACTCCAGGAAAATTCATTTTTTGGCCAAAACGAACACAGTTATTATCCCTTTAACTTAATTAACCTTGAGATACCAGTACAACTGCACAATCCTCTTGTTGAAATAAGAAAAAAAAATGAACAGGGAACGCGGAATCGTGCGTGGTCTGGCCAAATAAGAATGAGCGTTGCTGGTATTAGTACACGTACGACAGATTCAAAGGTGGTCTATCGGTGTAACGAGTAACAGAATGTCTGCCCTACATATAGTTATAGGCTGTATTCCCAGAGCTTTTAGATCGATCTATCCCCGCGGGAAGTCTCACTGGATTACTGTCAGATAATCCGGCTTAAATGTCCGTCCCGCCTACTACAAGCTGTAAGGGGGTAATTAACTTTCGTGTCCGCCCGGCTGACAGCTATTTAGCGTGAACCCCCAGGGAGTTAGGTCGATCTAAAGTAGATCGATCTAATCTCTGGAAATGGGGTCATAGTGATAAGGGTTCGTCTGACATAATAAGTGGGTCAAAATCTAGGGCGAGGCTCGCCTGTACAAATGAATGGGAAGCGGGGGACTCTCTGTCACGTTACACCGGATCACTGTGGGAAAGAAAACTGGGGCGATGGATTTAACAGGGTCTGCCGGATCTTAGTGGCAAAGAACACCGCGGCCAGTTACACGTAGGGTACTTTAAAGGTTTACATCGAAAGTTGGTCTTTCAATGTAAAAACCTACTTTGACCCAAGATAAATCAGTATTAGCCCATCACCTTGAAGAAAAGTCCGTTTTATAAATAAGAGGCCACTCAGAACAGAAGATCCAAGGATCTACTGATCCACAGATAAAATATGGTGGACCCTACATGAATGAAGAGCCGACTAATCCGCGTGATGAGGCGGGGAGACCATTAGTTAGTTCTTCTTTCATGTAGTGTCCACCATATTTGATCTACAGATCAATAGATAAGAGGATCATCTGTTGTGAATGCCCTCTTAGATAAATAAATGGAATAGCAAATGACCAATAGTGACTATTATGTCAATATTTAAATTAAAATGCTACTGGTGTACTTATAGGCCTACAGGTTTAGTCTGACGTAAATACAACTAAAGCTTTCGGATTTAACATTAGTTTTTTATTCAAATCCTTTTTACTGGACAGATCTACTTTACTTCTCAATAAATAGTGCTTGATAAAAAGATTTGGCGGAGAGTATCCTCCTTTTCATTCCACTGCTTTACCAGTAAATCACCATCTGGATTGCTGTAACTTGCGTTAACATGTACTCAGCCACCGAGGGACTTCCCCTAGCTAGAATCAAGATTTTTCAAAAGATGCGTTGATTAATTCTATTCATCCCTCGTGGGCAATTAAGACCTCTGTTGGGCCGAGGCACTCGAATTTGTCGGTCAGTTACGCTCGAGGGCATGCATTAATTCCCCAGCTAACACATGGCGTTTCCCCAATGTTATATATTAGTTATGGCCATCTGTAGCATTCCAGGAACATGGCTATATACTTTGTCTTCAGTTATTCACTCTGTCCGTTTGTGTCAACCCTGCTACCAGCAGCTCATTTCTACAACGTTCTCGAATAAAGTACCTTTTTGAAGTACCAAGGCAGTTTCATGCCATCTGATTGTCTTGTGGAAGTCGCGAGAATTAAACTGAGTTGCGTTAGCTGCAAACGTTTTTTTAAACGAACGTCTAAAATCTTTTAAAAATAATGTTTCTATGACGTGGAGGTAAAAATGTAATTGTGAAAACCGTCCAAGTTTTGTGTTTGAGGCATTGCGATATTGTTGGCAGGAACATCACTTCATAACAAGAAACTCGTATGGATGTTTTCGCGAAAACACAAGATATCAACACGGACATAATACACAATGCTTAAAAGAATTTGTATGGTTAGCTGTAAAAACGTCGCAATCCGCTATCAAACAAATAAGTACGAAGGTTCGTAAAGACAGAAGACGGCACTGACTTCCTTTCAGGATAAACGATATTTAAATAAATGTCCTGGAAACTCTAAGTAAAATGAAAGCCGATGGTGAAATAGGCGTTGAATACCTAGAGGTAGACATTAAAAAGGTAGTTAAAATCCGTTTAATGGATTATCTTATGCAAACAATTAGCCCCCCTGTGTCTTTAAGGCGCGGCTATGGAATATATTTTCTATATTTTAGTTTTTTGTTTTATGATTCAAGTTCTCAAAAAATCAACTCACTTTTGCGAACGATTGCAAAACGGTGCTCAAAATCGAACCAGTGATTAATAAACAAGGCAATTCATTCCTTCATGCTACCAATGTCCATGCTATAACTGTACTGTGTTGCATTACCGAGGAAAAAACAAAAGAAGAAGCCTTTTATGAGATGTTCGAGTAACTTATACTCAGCAAAAAAGTTCAACCTTCCTGTTTGTCGGCACTTCTTTGTTTTCATTTGAGACGTAATCTCCAAGGGAGTAGTCACTTAATAAATCATTTGAAGCTTCAAAAAAATGTGGATGATTAAGTTATTGCTCACTGGAACAAATGGCTACTTGCTGTATTCCCTCTCAACCTTATTGCATCTAGGGATTACTGTCAAAATCTTGGGAATTTTTGGATGACGCGACCATGCTTATGGGGGAATCACAAAAACTACATGATAAAGCCAAAATGCCCATTCACTGCCAAAAAAGAGAACCGTGAAGTCAAAGAAAAACACGCAATGGATACGACTTTCGCCGTTGGCTCCAATGCGACCACGTCCTTGCCAGTCAGTAATGGAAGTGATGTTATAGTAATTGACAGGTACTTATCACCAGCGATACACTATGCCTGCGGCATAGCAATGACACTCGGTACTATTTTGGGAATCTTCGGAAACACGTCAATTTTGCTGATGTTCTTAAAATTCAAAAATCTACGCTCTACTACAAATCTGTTTATTATGTCCTTAAACGTCTCTGATCTAATGCTAGCTGTCTTCGGTTGCCCCATGTCAGGAATCTCAAGTTTTGCGCTGAAGTGGGTGTTTGGAGATGTCGGCTGCGTACTTCATGGATTCATGATGTATTTCGCAGGATTAAGCGAGATGTACTGTCTCACTGCAATTGCGATTGACAGGTACATAGTCATTGCTAAACCACTACTGGCACCGGCCATTACGCAAACAAAGGCTTTGATAGCAATAGTCGCTTGCTATGTTGGTGGTCTTATGTTTGCAATGGCACCCTTATTTGGCTGGAGCAAATATACCTACGAAGGGGCAGGAACTACATGCGGAATCGACTGGATAACAAAAAGACCACAAGACGTATCTTTCGCTATAACCATATTAATCGCCTGCTACTTAACTCCAGTTGGGATAATGCTCTTCTGCTACCTTAACATTTACCTAACGGTAGGATTTAAAGTTATTTCGTCGCGGCAGCTAATTTAAAGTCGTTATCAAAAAGGCAATCATGTTCTTGGGGTAAAAACATTAATCAGGTCATGTAAACGTAACCACAGTCCTCTATATATCTTTTGCGTCTTTCAAGAGTGGTGCCGTTATTGCTGCATTGTTTATAGTTCTCGTTACATTAAGATGCCGATTTTTACCCGATTTCTAGAATTTGCACAAAAAATTCTTGTCTTTTCCTTGTTCTATATCAATTAAGCTTTCTAGGTATGTATAAAAGTCTATGTTTGACGAAGTCCGTCATTCTTCCATTTTGTATTGTTCATTCAGTTTGCACTTTTCAGTATCACGATTTTTGGCATATTGCAGGTTCTTTCATCAACAAGAAGCGGAACATGGGACAAACAGAGCAGCATAGCAAAACGCAACGCTAGACTTGAACGAAAGATGGCGCTCATGACAGTGGCTATGCTCGGTACGTGGGCTGTCTTTTTTAATTTTTTATTTTGTCTGAATATATTTTATTAAAATGGGTTGAAAGTGCGTTAAGACACTTCAAAAAAAAAAAAAAAAAAAAAAAAATTTAACTCCATGTTTTCTAACAATAAAAACCATTTTATGCCAAATAAAATTTGAATTTTGGTTGTGCCGACCGAGCCTTCTCTTTTCATCTCTCTATTTTTGAATTTTTCGGTCTAGTTTCAGTGTGACGGACGACAAATCTAAGTGCATTAATGTTATTCATACACAAACTTGTGAGGTGTTTGTGCATTTATTCAAGTCTTTAACTTAATTTATAAAAAATATTGTTAAAAAATTACAAAGATCCGTACTTAATTTCTAACATGTTCAGGTTTTATTAAATCAATTTTGATATTGAAAAATTAAGGGCCTATACTAAAAGAACGTAATTACATAAATCGATAAACCCCAACGTTGCTATTTTATTTTAAACAAGAAAATGAATGAAAATGTTGATAGATCTTACGTATAATAAAACAATACCGAAAGTGTAAAATGTAGTGCACATCGAAAGTGTAAAATGGTGAAATTCCACTTTGTTTAGGTTATAAAAATTAGCAAAGAGTGGTGTGGACATGTAAATTACACTTTATTCTGAATTCAAGCCTATTAATGCTCCAGTTTCAAGAAATGTTTTCCTATTCAGGTAATTTTCTGTTATGCTGGACCCCTTATGCTTTGGTCTCCTGCATCGCAACTTTTGGGGACCCTTACTCAATGCCACTGCTCTTGGTTCACATTCCCTCTATGTTTGCTAAATGCGCCGCGGTGATGAATCCTATCATCTATGTTGGCCTGAACCAACAGTTTCGGGATGCATTCCTTGAGATGTGTCCTTGCTGCAGTGGGATTGTCGCCTGCTTCGCCAGCAAGTCCGATGATGATGATGATGATGATGACGCTGATGCAGGGGAAGGCGCCGGAGGATCGGGCTAGTTTACATGGAAAGCGAAGGAAGAGTGTTGTTTTCATGGCAGCAGGAACATGCAATGTGTTTGTTTGTTTTCGTTAAATAACTGACATTTTAATATCTTAAAAGAAAGGTTTGCTTGTGTGAAGAATTGGGTCAAACAACATCTAAAGTTGGCGGTAAACTACGCATTCAAAAATAATTAAAATCGGCTTTAGAAAAGAATAACTTACCATAACGATAATTGGAAAATTGCATTGTGGTATGCAAATATTTTGTTTTTTCAACGTTTTCAAGATTGAACAAAAATGAAAAGTCCTAAAAAAGCAGCAACGTTGTTCAATTCTGTGAACTTACAAATTAATGTGGGGATGAAAAAAATGCGGGGCATATGAAAAGCATGGCTGTGCAGCTGCATCTAGGCCTTAACTAAAAGTTATGCGTGTAGAATTGTATTTGATTATGTAGTATTTCGAAAGCTTGAATTGATGAAAATACCAACCGTTGTTCAACGATGAGTCTATAAGTATGCTCGGGCAGAAATGCTTTTTTGGTGTGATTGGCAAGTCTGGCTAACAGAATAGTGAGTGCCGCGTGATCGCATGTAGTGAGTATAGATTACGTAGTTTACATGTACATAGCTTACATAATAATTTGAAAAGATTTAACCAATATATATTGATATTTTCATCTTTAGTATAATACCAATTTTTTGTTACCTGACTTTATTTAGCATTAATTATAAGATTTAAGCTTTTCTGCTCGGGTTCATCGTGTTTCTGTTCATAAGATGTTATAATATGATCATTAATTAAAATTCCTATTTATAAAACAATTTTCTCAATTGCACCTGTATACCGATAGCACTAAGTAAAGGGTTTTGGTATCGGTAAATAATGCAATGGGTCTTTAAATGTTTTTAAAATTTTTTGTATTGCATGACATTGTATTTTGCACTGCTTACACATATTCAACTTAAAGAAAACTGTACTAGTATAACAACAGGATGTTCGGTTGTATGTATTAATTTTAAAAAATATATTTATTCATTTCAAAGTTAATAAAGAAGAGGTCAGAAGAAAAAGCCAAAATTTAATTTTTGTTAGCAAAAGAATTTTTGTTAATTTGATCCAGTCCCCGCTATCACAGAACGCTTTGTAACGTTACCGGGTTATATATTGGTTAGACCGTCAACAAACGCTAGGAAAACGTTATTCTAACGTTTTACACTGCCGCTGTTATTATCAACGTATTTATATTTACTTATTATACATTTAAAAAATAAACATGCAAAAAGGATTTCATATTTGTATCACTGTAATTTGCACAATTATCATGGTCACATCTAAACGTGTTAAAAATGTTCCCACAATGCTTTCGAAATATAATGATATCATTTTACGTGTAGCATATATTTACCTGCACATAATGGACAATAGAAGTGTCACCCCCTGAATCAGAGTAATCAAAGTAGGTAGATATTGAATAGTTATAATGCCTGGTCTACTTATAATGTGACTAATGAGTATAAAACCGCTGTACCATGGAACTGTATTGTTGGTCTTTTTGTGAAATTTGATGTTAATGAAATGATACCAGGAGCATATCATTTCACAGTCATTTATCTCCCCCAAAGTAGGGGTGACACTTGTTTTGTCCAGTGTGTGTAGATAGAAAGCAGTGGTCATTTATCTCCCCCAAAGTAGGGGTGACACTTGTTTTGTCCAGTGTGTGTAGATAGAAAGCAGTGGTCGCTGCCTACGCAAGCCTGTCTTTCGCTGTTTGAACTACACCTTAGCGGCTAATTACAAATTGGGGTTGGAGTTAGTCGGCAACTAGAGCGGTGAGAATTTTTAAACCTTTGGTATGGCGGTACGTACCTAAAATAACCATAGTTTAAAAAAAGTTAAAATAAACTGTTATACTCAATAAACCACCATGTTGTAGTGTTCATTACTTATATGGAAGGATTAAAAATCAAAATGATTGACAGGTGTTAAAAAGTAATCTTGAAAGCTTTTTTTTTTTTTTTTTTGTGATGTACTAGTGAATTTTTAAACTTGATTTTAAGAAATCCATTCTAATAAACTCGCTCGCAAGGTCAGCTAACGCCGGAATGAATAAAAACAGCAGTGGAATACCTTGATCTACGTTATTTAATACTTTTCTAACGGTCTTTTGTTTGTATCCTTATGAAAACCCATTAGCTTACCCCAGCTAACCGAGTTCTAAAGTTACTGGGTAACAACATTGGCGCCGATATTGTGACTGTGAGCACGCTTTCCACTTATAATATGCATTGTATTTTGTTTTGTATCATAAATTTTGGAAAGTGTAACACTTAACACATACAAAAATTATCAGGGAAGAGTACACTTAAATTCACAGAGTTGGGAAAGCACGCTGAGATCCTGAATCGGCGGTTAAACAGTGATGACATGAGATCATCTCTCGTGCACACGCTTTCCGCTTGGAATATGCATCGTATTTTGCTTGATATTCATAAATTTTGGCAAGTGTAACATTCAACACTTAAAAATTATCAGGGAAAAGTACACTTAACTTCACAGAGTTGGGAAAGTAAGCTGCGATCCTGAATCGGCGGTTAAACAGTGATGACATGAAATCGTTTTTCGTGAATTACACACCGTAAAAAGTGGGTACCGAATATAGCTAATTCTATTAATCTCATTTACTATTCATGTGACCGGGTCATTACGTCCTCAATTGCAATCTCCACTATTGACGCTTAGTCCCTGGGCCGAATCTGAATGGGGAAACGAAACTACACGCTAGCTGTGGTTTCGCCGTCGTGCGAGTATGAAAGAAAAGAAACAGGATTGGGTCATAACATCTGTGATTACACGCTCAGATTACCGGATTGTTGTTTTATGAAAAGCAGTGTGTGTTTCAGGTAATTAAATCCAGAAATTGAACGATTTGCATAGTTCACGTGTTATGTATGGAAGATAATACTTTGTACTGGGGGCCGAGTCCATTCTATCATGGGGGGTGGGGGGGTGTGTCAGGTGGGCCGAGTCCACGCCATAGGAGGGGTGCCGGGTGGGGCATGTCCATTCCATTTAAAGGGTGTCAGGTGGGGCAAGTCCATACCAGTTGAGGGGTAACAGGTGGGTCGAGTCCATTCCACAGGAGGGGGGTGTCAGATGGGGTGAGTCCATTCCACTTTAGGAGTGATGGGTAGGGTGAGTCCATTACACTGGTTGGTCTCAAATTTCGGTATTCCACTATTTAATAAACATGAACATTACAAATTGTATATTAAAAATGGGAAATTTGAAATTTATCACAAAAATACATAGAAAGATGAATCAGATATTTGAAAAATTATTTCTTGATCTCAATTTAGTTAAGAGAAAAGGAACTGAAAACGAGTTCTCTGTTGTATCCTCAGAATAAAGATTTTGGACAAATTTCAACTGTTGCCAAAAAAATAAATAAATAAATAAATTAAAATAAATAAATAAATAAAATAAAACTTAAAAAAACTGGTTTAAAGTTACATCAGCATCTTTACACTTTTTGGTTTTCCTGTTCAAATTTCAAATTGAAGTATTCATATATAGAACAGACCACCAAATATAAATAAATCATTTTACAGAAACTAACCCGGTCAAAATTGGACCCGTCCTATATTAAGAAATACAGGTAAATTATGTCCAAGGGGACAAGCCAATCAGTTCTTTTTTGCTACAGAACAATATTATATTGTAAAAATTTGAAAAGCAGGATTGTAAATTTCTACAAATTGTGGGTTGGAACCTGATTTAGGCATTTTCTTTTAGAGTATTAAAACAACTTAAATTTCATTATTTACAAAATACTGGGTATATTTGTTATTACCTTTGCAACGATCACGCAATAAATTTAGTCATAATTTACAGTTCAGATCTAGTAGATTGAATTTGAATGTCCTCAAATACTCATTTCCCCTCATCATTCCAACTATCTTTATCATCATATGTACATAACAAATTGAAAAAAAGCAGAATGAGAAAAGTTTTTATTCATTTTTCATACAAAAGATGCATGAATGAGCTAGGGGTTCCTGGGTGTGTTGAGCTTCTGAAAAGAAAAAAATGTTTACAGCTTTAGACTTCACAGACAGGCTTTTGACACACGCATAATGCAGGTAATATCACAGATCCGTTGAATCATCGTGTAATGAGCATTCAAAATATGCATGTACATGTGTTAATTGTACTATATAAAGACCTTTGAGAAATTGTCAGTTTTAGGCAAAACCAGATTACCCAAGTCTCATCTGACACAAAAATGAACTGTTTTAGCTGTGATAGTATACAACCTTTTGCCAGTACAATAATAACAACAGTGATAATAATTTACTTTTCAAAACAGCGCTACACAAAGGTTTCAGCACTGCTATTAACATTATATATAAAATCTTAAATGATAAAAATTTACAAATATTGATTTTTAAAAGAAAAAAATCAATAAAAGGAAATGGACCCTAAAAGAGACAGAATTAACCACAGGATCATTTAAATGAAAATGTCTTCAAATTCCTTTTAAAACTTATGCAATTGTTGTAAAAAGAGACGTTGGTATTGTTGATAAAATTTGACTATTGAAATTAATGAAGTGTCAAGGGGTGCACATGTTTAATTAGAGCTAAAAAAGTGCATCGCTAAACGATTTCAAACAAACTTAGGTTGCCACCAAAGAGTCGATATTGTGCATCGTAGTGTGATCTATCTTCCCGTGGCTTGTTTCAGGCGAGAGGTTGTTTCTGAAACTATTCACGCATGTTCAATAAATCCAGTGGTGATGCCTTTATATACATACGCTAAAAGTTGCGGAAGAATTGTTTGTCCAAGTGGAACTTTACTTACATCAGTCTAGCAACTGAAAATTTAAAAATTACATTTGTTCTCACTCAAAATAAATAAATAAATAAATAAATAAATAAATAAATAAATAAATGGATAAATAATAATAATAATAGTAATAAATGAACTTAATTTTAAACCTTCACTACTGTCCC